ACGCTCTTCGTCAGTACCGAAAGATGGATGTTTAGCTTACAAACACAAAACACAAAGCAGAAAAACAGATACTTTTTATGTTTCATGAGTTTGCTTTTTTACTTTTCAGGAGAAAAAGAGGGAATACTACAAAATCACACAAGGCCTCCCAGACTTCTGTTATTTAACACCTGAATTAGGATGGGTGTCTTAGACTTCAGTTTCCTAGGCTCTTCAGCAAAGCCCAAAGGGTGGTACCTGTATTTTGTGTGAATTATGGGTGTAAGACCTTTGCCCACTTCAGTTCTCTATCTCTATCCTTGATCTTCTTTGCCAAAATAATGTGAGTGTACAGAAATATTTCTGTATATTTCAACCTACGACAGTTTTAGCATCTGTATAGTTTGTACTCAATTAGAGACCTTTTCTATGGAAAGCTCAGTAATTTTTATTAAAAGATTGCTATTGTTCATGTAAAACATGAAAAAAAAATTGTTTAGTGAACTGACAGTGTGGACTTAGGGTGGGATTAAATATGCAGTATTGTGATCTCACTTCCGGAGAACTTGCAGGAGACAATTGCAGTCGACTGTTGTTTTTCCTCGCCCGTGTGCAGTTTCGTTCTGCTTCCTCTCCTAGTTCCATAGAATACAGTGGAACGTCTCGACAGTAAGTGCCTCTGCCCCCTGCCCTCCACACTCCCCGAGCGCAAGTTGTCTTTGCCACCTGGCCTGCGGTGCAGTGCGCTGCCTGAGGCCACAGCTCAAAAGCGCTGTTATTTTTAGGTCTAGTAGAAATGGTATGACGTGGATGGGAGGCTTGTCTGTGAAGGTGTACAGCAACAGCCCTTTAATCTGGGAGCCCCTGTGTCATTCAGATGTGTTTCTCTGCAGTTGTGCAAAGTGTCAGATTCTACTACCTGTGGGTTTTGCTCACCAGACAGGTTTTAAGATTTTGTTTTTTGGTTTTTTTTGTTTTTTGTTTTTGGAAAAGTTTATATAAGTTCTTGGAGATTGTTGTGAAAGGATCGAGAAATCGGGATAGCCATTCCTTTAATATCCATTTAAAAATCTGTTCATTTCATGTTAGTGGGACCGTTAACTTGTCACCAAGCAGGACTCTATATAAAACAAAATTTAAAACTTTTTGTGGCCTATATGTGTTTAATCCTGGTTAAAGATAAAGCTTCTAATGCTGTTTTTATTCACCATATTAACCAGCCGTAAAACACAGACCTTTATCGACAGCAGGCAAAGAATTTGAGGATTCATCTACAGCTAGACTATAAAGTCATGTAATTTGAGAAGCGGCGTTTCATTATGAAAAAGCTCTCAAGATGCTTGTAAAGCTAATCTAATTAAAAAGATGTATAAATGTTCTTGAAAAAATTATGCTTATTTCCGCCTGTCTTGTTGTTTTTTTTAATCCTTTATCATACACTGACTTTCTTAATGGGCCCTTCCGTCAGATAATGTGCTTTTCTATCACACATCTCTGGTTCAGTCCAGAGCGTTTGGTATTGCTTTTTATAAATGATAACAGGGGGGAGAGAGAGAACAGTAAACATGGGAGTCCGACAATTGCAGCAACATCCTGGGAGTAGCTGGACTGGGTCCACGGGCTCCATGACCTCTGTCTGCATTCTCAACATTTGGATTCTTGCCCTTTTACTAGGATTTTTACGCCGTCGAGCATATCTGTGTCGCCCCTCTGCTGCAGAAAGGAAGGGCCACTAGGTTTTATCGCTGACCGTCACAGGTGTCCTGTGTGTGTATGCAAGAAACTGAAGAGCTCTCACAATATGAGGTCAATATACAAGTTCGTTTATCTCTTATTTAAAATATTTTTTGGTACGGTGTTTTTGTTATATCCCAACCTATCCTAGGGCATTTGGACAGTTGTGCTGAAATACAGCTGCGTGGATTAAAGGAGAGGGCAGATGAGCTAGGGATGAAGACTTAATTAAATTTGGTAGTGTGGTAAAAGAGCACAGACAGGATTGACAAATCTGTTTGGTTCTGGCTCAGCCACTTAGTTGCCTGACCTTCGGAGCCCTTTTCATCTGAAAACAAGCACAGTAGCTCCAATCTTAGAGTCGTGTGCGACCTGAATGAAACACACATTATTCCCAGGACACACAGGGTTCAAGGATGAGAGCTGTATCTCGGTTGTGGATGGCAATTATATGTATTTATACCATATATTTGATAATATAATTGTACATGGACTTTCAGAAGTACCCAGTCTCCACTGCTTCAAGAATAGGTTTTTAGACATCTTAATGCCAGGAATGCGTTCTCCAGATTCTGCCGTTGATTTTAAGGCAGAGTCTTCTCATGATGTTGACGACGAGCAAGTAAATTTCACCTGAAACATGGCAGTGCTCAAGGATGGACCATTGGGCCAATGATATGTATAAAGGGCGTGGCCTCATGAGCCGGGAAGAGTTTTACAAGTAGAAAACACTTTAATATAAACCAGTTCATAAGACAGGGAGAGCCTACACAGCTGCAGGCGGCTAAAGCTCTTCTTATCGAATGGATAATTTCTGCACTCTGAACAGGTGGTGTAGAGGTTATTGGATAGGGAGTTACTGGATGAGATCTCTCTTTCATTGAGATTAGGCATTTTTCTGCCAAAATTGTTATATTTCTATGCTTTTCTATAAAATGCCTTTACAGTTTTCTAAGTCAAAGGTATAAATGCACACGCAGCCAAGTCAGCTCGTTCTGTAGGGGTTGTTGAGGAAAACAGCCCCTTGTGTCCTTCCCCTGAGAAAAGATTTCAACTCTTCTAAGTGATTCTTTGGGTGTGTGCCAGGTTCTTAATACAGTTGCGTCGCTACATTCTTGATTCTTCGTTGTCTGACATTTATCTCCTAACTTCCCCACGTGGAAGGTAAGAATACAGGTGTCTCTCCAGCCCTCCTCCACTGCCCCTGCCACACCTCCCCGATCTCCTTACATAATTACATTGTAACTTAGGTCACATTAATGTTAGACTATCTGGGACTTCCCTGGCGGTCCTTCCCTGGTGATCCAGTGGTTAGGACTCTGCGCTTCCACTGCAGGGGGCACGGGTTCGATGCCTGGTCGGGGGACTAGGATCCTGCATGCCGCGCGGCGCAGCCCGGGGGGAAAAAAAAAAAAAGGCTATTCGTGCTAATTCAAAGGTGAGACGCAGGATAAACCATGATGACTTTCCCAGTTTACTTTTTTCTTAATGTCTTGCTTGATCTTTTGTTTTCCCCTGTGGCGTCTAACCTGCAGGAACCTGGAGTGGTTGCCCTTTGTGCCTGGCGCACAGCTGCCTTCCCTAGACCTCCTTCCACATTGTTCTGGAGATCCTATCACCACTCTCCGTTGGGTCTCCTATTTCCTGGGTCCCATGTCTTCCTCCGTCTTGGTTTACTTCCTCAATCTGGTGGGCCTGGCCTTCAACGCGTTCTGTGAAAGAGTATGTGGGAGCTCGGTTTCCTGAGACCAATGTTTTTTTTTTTTTTTTTTTTTGACCCTCACATTTAATTGGTAACTTGCCTGAGTTTAGAAATCTAGCTTGGAAATAATTATCCTTCAGAATTTTGAAGGCATTGTTCAGGTTCTAAGTTGCAGTGTGGATGTTGAGAAATCTGAAGCCGTTCGTTCCTGTTTCTAATTCTTTACATGTCATCTGCTTTTCCTCTGTGGAAGCTCACGGAATAATTCTTTGTCCCCAGGGCTCCACCGTTTTACAGTGTGCCCGTCCTCCGCCAGTACACTAGGTATGCAAACTGTAAATTTGTGCCGTACATTCGGGGACATTTTCTTAAATTGTTTCTCCCCTCCACCCTCTCTGCTCTTTCTGAACCCGTGTCATTCAGACAGTGCACCTCAGGTTTGAGCCAGTTGCTGTCGTCTGCTTCGTCTGCGTCTTTGTCTTTTACCAAGGAGACGTGTCTTTCAGTTCTGCCCGCAAGGGTTTCATGTCTGCTCTCACGTTTTTAATTTCCAAGAGCTCTCTTTTATGTTCTCTAAATTTTTAAAATATAGAAAAACCTATTCTGTTGAATAGACACAGTATTGAACATTGTTTTCTGTTTGATTTCATTTTTGTCTGTCAGGTTAGAAGCTTTCCTCCCAGGTCTGATAGTTCTTGCCTGTGTGTTCATATTTAAGGGGGGAGTACTTGAGTTTCTGGTTTTCCAAAGAATAGTAGTTGCTGCCTAAATCTAAATCTCTTTCACTATCCTCCCAACAAAGTCACCTGTAACCTGTACCTGCAGCATAACTGTGAGACACAGAAAAAAGTTCAGCTTATGCGAAACTGGAGCCGGCATCAGAATTCCTATGAAGGCAGAGTCAGGTGGAAACTATATGGTAAAGGGACAAGG